CTGATTGTTCTGCTCGTTTGCCGACCTATTACATAAAAAAAATACATAAGTAGGTATTCACCCTCCTCTAATCCTTGTTAACCAAGGAACATCTATATCATGACTATGATCCAAACAGCTGTGTCTAACTATATGTATAAACTAGTTTCCACTAACAGCTCCGCACGCGTTTAAAAGTAATCATCCTGGGATTTGAAAAAAAGCAGCGCTGAAAGCGATAGCTCTAGTAAAACTAAAAATCAAGTATACTATATACAGTATAACATTTTAAGCTTTCTGTCAGTGAAAGAGTCTAAGAAATCCGACTAGTGGTTCCAAAGATTACCCCCTACATACAATATTACAAATTTTACCTCCTTGGTATAGATGTAGAAATCAACTCGAAACATCGCAAAAAAGAATAGTCAATCTTAATATTTCGTTCGACTGACTTCAAAGAAACGCAAAGCGGAGAAAAGAACATGATTGTCGTGTGACAAAGACTACAAATAAAAGTGCAAGTCAAAGTACAATCGTAGCGAGAATCTTTTCAATCTTTATATTCAGAAGCTCAATTTTGAAGTATCAATACACAGAGATAGAATATTCTGGAAATAAAAGAACGAAATGCTTATGCATATAGCTACGGAATCGATAACTGACAATTTGTATACCTTAACGGTTCACACGAGCCGAGGATCGCAACAATACTCATTACTAGACTTCGATTTTCGACACCAAAACATGAGAGTAGGTATTAAACGAAAAACTCACAGCACTTTGCTATTATTGCCTATAAAAACAAACACGTGATCCCATAAAAGCCCTACACAATTCAAAACATAATAAAACCGTACCAATTTGCTAAGATCTAAACCGCTGACGGCCAACAAAAAGCGCTGTAGCGCTGACATAAAAACAGCGAAACTTCCTAGTTTTTCAACTGGGTCTAACAAAGGTTTTTCGCAAATAAATGGTCAAGTCACAGCAGCTTGCGACACTGCGCCAAAATGTCTCCCACTCCATTAGTTAGTAGCGACCGTATCTGACGCGACTGACAAATTAAAAGGCCCAATCTGTTCTCCAGATTGGATCAGTCGACCTGCTCTGTGATGCACGGGCTTATTGGAAACGGAATTTGAATGCGAAGCAATATTGAGTTTACTAACACTATTTGATTAGTAGATAGATGTTTGGATAATATCATGATTGAATTTTGTTTAAACTAGGTAAATTGTGGGAATAATTCTAAGTAAATTTATTGAAAATCATGACTTATTCACGTGAGTGAGAATATCGCTAATACTTTTCAGATACAACGGACTCTTCTTTATGAATACAGCGTGCAGCGTGTGCGTCGGAGCAACGAAAGTTTAGTACGTCTCACGATAGTAACTATTTTTTGGTAGATATAATTGCAATCTATCATTTAGATATTCAGTAATATATTTGAAAGTGTAATAAATTTGCACGCATGTTATATGACTGCCCCGTTTATTGATATCAAGAAAAAAAACTCAATAAGTATGGAATAAGTACTTAGCATTTCTTCTTCAAGGGTCGATTCTCCAACTCTGACTAAATTACGGGAGGATTTTATTACGTGCCACGAACTGTGGACTATTTTGGTGAATGCAGCTTAATAATGATTTTGTCAAAGGACTAAATTACATGCATAACTTGTGAAATGGACCGAAACCTTAGCTTAAGCCAAAGTGCTTATCAAATACAGTTGTACAATGTTCAGCATTGTGGTTTCATCAAAGCTATTAATTAGGTTTTCGTACGATACTAAATCTGAAAATATAAGTACCAAATTAAATAAAATCTCCATGTCATTACAAGTAACAAAATTAATTACAATAAAATAAGTTAAGTAATTTATTGTATCCCATAAACTGGTTCGCATAAAATTATTGTGACCTGTTACCTGGCACGCAACGTAGTAAAATTCCTGGAAAACAAAGCACCAAAGCCTTATACAGTTCAAAGTAATACTGAAGCCTGTCCTTTTTTAATACCACTACGAAATGATAAAAAAGGATATACACAAAGGAGCATCTGGCCAAAGGTCTCTTTGCTAAAAAAAGAAATAAGCATATATGAACATTATTATGTTTGTATGTCCATCCGTCTTCTTAGCATCAACATCGAAGACAACGGAACACTAAATATTCAAGCATAACTCCTCTTCTTTCATTTTACCGAAAATAACCTCAAAAATAATAATCCTTTCCGATAAAAAAAACGGTAATAAAGCAAAATTTTCTTCGAAATTAATACCTCTTTTAACAGTCAGCATTTTATTTCTATTTAAAAAGAGTTGAGCCTGATTCTATTGGCACTAATTAATGAAATACAAACTCGTAATCAATTCCTATAAAATTTTATGAAAAGCTTCAGAAATAAATTGTTTATGCGTGATAGTAGCGAATCAGTTTATTTGTATACAATACGGTAAACAATTTGTTAGGGATCAACGGAACCGAACACTGATAGGGTTGTCCCTACCTTTAAAAACCTGCCCGAAAACCTACTTTAACTTGTTGCTTTATAGTTTTTTCCTTGTTCATAAAATCTCATGCCGAAACTGTGACAATGGGATTATTTTGCTAGAGTTTTAACTTTTGACGTGAAGTACAAAGCCAAATATGTGTTTTGTATTCAAAAAGAAATCTATTATTTTGTTCTTTAGTGTAAGGTGTTTCGTGAAAATATGTGAAATGACTACCTGAATATGAAATTGTCTACCCATTCTTATTTATTTACCAACTTCGGAGATGTTTATATTAACAAAGTGTCATATTAAACATTTAAATTTTCATTTCATTTTTAATTCTCCAAGAAAATAATGAGTAAGTTCTGCTTCAATAAATAAATAAAATGGACTATTTTATATCACTACCTATTCATATTTGGCCGGAATACTTTCAAGCATTCAATAAGTATTATTCATTTGTGACAGCCCTCGACCGAGCCGGTCCGAACCGGTTTCCACCGTATTGGGCGCGCAATGAAAATATTTTCCCCAGCCCTTTTTGACTTTCAAATTGAATCGGCCGAAGCACGAAGACTTAGGAATCAATTTGATACTTTATTTGTGATCTTACGATGCCGATGTTAGGATTTGGCCCCAATTACCCGCTAACAGTAAAGGGATATTCCCTTCTTTTATTTTATATTTCTTTAATTGACTTCCCCGTTCATTTAACTGCCATACCACAGCTGATAAATTTATCAAAAGAAAATGAAATATCGTAAGTACTTTTGTTTTTGTTTATATAATAGTAAATGACAATTTGTAGATTGCACAGTTTTTTTGTAAAGAAAATCGAAACCACGACTCGTTGCTCAGCGTGGTAATGCCAAGCTACAGCGTCAAACGAGCCGAGTATCTGATTTTATTTATTAATGTTTTAGGGAGTGACAGACTCTTACTGACTAAAATCCAAACTCATTCCCACACCAAGCTGGGACGCAACATATTGGGCTAATATATTTTTTCTGTTATTTTCATCATAATTTTAAATTTAGCATCAACCCAAAATAACCCCGTTAATTAATTGAATAGTAATCAAACTTTCTCATTTACTTCGGTTAAGTAATAAAGGGTTAATAAATATGCTAACGTCATTATGCAAGGCTTTCAGGGGTCAATCTACTTGTGTTTGAAAATTACCCGGAAATGAGATTAATGAAAGGTCAATTTGTATAAAACGTTGCCATATGAGTTCCCTACGGACCCATGGGTGTGTTACTTACCTATATGTAGTTTCGGTAAAAGAGGTTAGATATTATGCGAATGAGTTCAATTTCTGAGTTGCATTAAAAGTGATTTTGTTCTATGTTAGAGCAATAAACTCGCTAGGTGGTGAATACACAGACTTTATAATATGACAGGCATTTTCGTATATCGTTTATCGATTATTTGTTTTCGGTTTTCGATTTTTTTATTTTTGTATTTTGGTTTTCGATTTTAAATTACCTATCAATTATTAGTTTTTTTGTTTTGTTTTCGATTTTTGGTTAGGTATTCTTTTCGGTTTTTTTATTTTGTATATTCCACTTTCGAGTATACTGTTTCGAGTTTCAACTTTCAAATTTCGGATTTCGATTTTCGATTTTACTATCACAAGACCAAAGTACATTACAATAAAATGTAAAAAAAATACTTTGTATTGGTCACAATTCAAAACGTACAATAGAATTTGTGACAGCCGCGACTCGTATTGATCGATTCAAATCGAGACAATTGCTTTGATGAGCTGAAACAATTTACATATGCGTATTATGTTGTACTTATATGTTATTTGTATTTCACAGTACATTTACATAATTTAGTGAAAGTTGTTAGTTCGATCAACAGTTTAGAACAGATAAACACAGTTATACCCCTTTTAAATGGAAGGTTAATTCTATTTTGATCTGTCAAATGCAGTAAGTAGTATTATGTAGAATTAATGTTAAATTTATATTAGTAAGTAGTTTAATTAGTAGATTATAAATACTTTAGTTTTGAGAGGAAAAATAGAAATATAAATTTATGGTGGAGGTCTCCTTATCTAAAAAAAAACGTACAATCTCGCTACTTAATGTTTTTAATAACCTCAAAATTCTAATTCCTATTGAGACTGTATCACAAAGTTGTGATCGGAATGTTAAACATTAAAATTAAGAATTAATTATAAGAAATATTTTTTTTTTTATTTTATATTAATATTTAAAAATGTTATTTTAGAATGATTTTAATAAATATACGTGGCCACCGCGTAGTAGTTAACCAAAATTAAATAAACTCACCTTGCCTTCTACAAAGACCTATTTATAAAGGATGGTAAAGTCTTAGACCTTGACGAGTAAAAAAACAAACTAATTTATTTCACACACGAAATGTCCTTACAAATACAATCACACCTTGACGAAATTATAGGAAAATACCATATAATGCTATTAAATAAAGCAGCCTTTCCTTATTTTCAATGGCGCGGAAAATATACCGTCAATATAGACCTAAGGCCAAAATGTCCATACCTAGATCACAAGTTCACGTGAGGTCAGTAAAAAGGAAGAGGACAACAATCGAACCTTCGCGAAAATGAAATATAACAATAGCACGTAGAGACAGGAAAATAATGAGAAAGAGAGAGCAATAGCGAAGTTTTACTTCTGAGCTTTGATTTTTAAATAAAACTAGCGGCCCGTCCCGGCTTCGCACGGATCCAACTATCTCGCTATCAAAGGGTCGTCTTTTCCTAATCTTCACCTTTACTTTTCTTATATTTTCTTTGATAAGAACCTTCTCCTGGCAATAACAAACACAACAAAAAAAGAATTATCAATATTGGTCCAGGCGTTTTTGAGTTATGCGCTTACCACCACATATTGCGATCCATTTTTATATATAAAGATTAAAGATTAATTAGAACTCGAGACTATGTGAATATTGTCCTTGATATTATTTTCTTTTTCCGATGATTTGGCTAAATATTAGTGTAACACTGTTCTCACATAACCGACTAAAAGATGTAACAAAAATGTATTGTGAAACTGATTGAGAGTGACCATGGAGTTTCTTGTTCGTTTTTCTTTGTATGAATCTATACTTTAGAACTAGCCAATAGCTCCACGATAGAACAGACCGACAGGCTGTCACACAAAGTAAAACTTTTTCATATTTAGGTATTACCAAATACAAGGCAAGGAGTTTTGTATTACCAACGTTTGGAACGAAAGTCTTTTATTAATATTTTTTTTCCTAATTACTATAATTAGTCTTTTAGAAAGACCGCAATAAAATGAAACTCTCAAACAAACGTCTTTCTGCCAACGGTTAATGACACCACATAAGTTTTTTTTTCAATAACACTCTCCTATCAAATTCCCTCGAAATATAAAAGCGTAGATCAAAAATCGCCTAAAAGCACAAATAAAATCACACAGCAGAAAATGTCCCCTGATTGCCTACTCAAAACTCTAATTGGACAATAAACGAAATGCAATTTGAACTTTAATTAAACTGACTCTAATTCATTAGTTTCTGCGTCACAGTCACACATTTCACATATCATCGAGTTAATGTGACAGTGATGACGTCACACATCTAATAAAGGACCCGGTAACCGTGTTCACAGTAGTGTGCAAAATTGCAATAAATCAAGGAAAATGTATGCAAATTGTTAACGACGAGCAATCGCAGCCAATTAAGCTCCCACCGACCAGCGGGAAGTGATTTGATGGTATTCCATTTAGAATTGTTCTGATTTTAAGGGAAATATTAAATACATTTATATTAATAAGAGGTTAGGTCGTGATGGATTGAAGGTTGAGGCGTTCGCTACTCATGAGTTCAAGCTAGCTAGTACCAATGTGTCTTTTTCTGAGTTAGATGTAATTTCTATGATTAATTATTTACACATCAGTGACATATGCGGATTGGTGAAGGAAAACATCGTGAGGAAACCTAGAGTTCTGCGTTGGGTAAGTGTGGTGATTGGTGTTCAAAACCTCGTCCTTGTGAGAAGAGGCCTTTGCGCTGATGATGATGATTTATTTATAAGAAAACTGGCTTTTGCCCGCGACTTTATTTGCGAGGAAGAGTGACAGATTTTTGGTTTAAAAACTATCCTGTGTCCTTTCTCGACTTCAAACTATGTCTGTACCAAATTTCACACAAATAGATTGAATAGTTTAGGCGTGAAGAAAAGACAGACAGACGGACAGAGTTATTATCGCATTCATAATATTAGTTTGGATTATTTTATTGTTGACAATTAACAAATTATTCAGTTAATATAATAGAACATGCCGAGTACCAAGATTGAGCAATTAAAATAAATAAACACAATAAACAATAAAAAGCAAAATTGTAATATCTATCTCATACCAAAATCGAAACGCCATCATTTAATGTCAAACGCAACATCCCTGTTGAACATTAAAAAAGTACAATTAAAAGTTTTATCAAAAACACACGGAGCCAGCAACCTGATTTATTACTCCCAAATGGATTTATCATAAAATTAGGAACGCGAATCAAAAATAAAAACACAATCGCCTCTCGTAGAGTTTTTCAATTTGTTGCGAAAAAACTCCACCAGTGCTAAAAGCCTCTTCTAATATTACAATTTCACACGAGCGTTATTTATTTATACATAAGAGTTGAATTTTATTACATATGTACGCATTTTTGTTAATGGTTTATTCGAAAAGTGAGCAAATTATCGAAATTCCAATAATATGATATGCCAATATATTGCTATTAAGGGACTATCATCAAATGACTTTTCTCACCCAGATTATGGCATAAAAGAGAGAGTGTTAACTTCAGAGAAGTCAATATTCCGGGGTTGCGGGGTAAGCGCAATGAGGCACTGCGACCTCAGTCAAGAGCAGGAGAAGGAACGGGGGTTTTTAGTCAGTTAGAGTCTGAAACTCCCTCCCGCCCGACCCTGGGCGGAAGAAGTCACTTGATGATTACCCACTTACAAAAAAAAAAACATAAAAAGAGGAGTCAATATTTAACCACTTAACTTTAGTTTACTAGGATTTGTAAATTATAAATCCTAATAATTAAATATGAAGTAAGTACTGCTCGTTCAAGCTTCCCCGTTTGTAGGGACTGCGAAAGAAATAATGTTTTTATTACTTACCGTCGCAAACCTGTTTATGGCATTATGAGAGAACGAAATTAAATGGCAGCCGCCATATTGTTTTCCATATTAGTCAACTTTCCGAACTCAATTTCGTTAGCCGTAATATGACAATAATTTATTGCCTATTAACTGTATACGCCATTCGGAGCTGCTAAAACTCGTAATATATTTTTCCATTGAATGAATTAAAATAGTAATATAATAAGTAAAAACAAAACTCTTAATAGCCTTTTAGTATAAACTTTTAAAATACAGTTGATATTATATTTCAACAACTAAAATAATCCACATTTTTGATGTATTCAACGAAACTTTCACGTTGGATAAAATTTTGTCAAACTGAAACCGGTTGAACGAATTTGACTACGTAATTAAACGTCAACCGCCATCATGTCATTTTAATATCAAAACGTCGACCACATAAAAAGTTTACGTGGAAACAAAAATAAAATGAAACACTGTACAAAACCGGTAAAAGTGGATGTCATGTGCAGAATATCTAACATACAAACATTATTTAAGTAAGAAAAATATCAATAGCTGTATTATCAAAGCAGACATTTCCCGCCATATGCCGCCAGACGCCATATTCCCGCGTAATTAAACGTCAAGCAACCATTTTGCGTATAAACATGCATGAGGGAATCAGCGCGTCGCTCCCTGCCTCGAAAATGTTTTAACGCCTTTTTATATTTATTCATGGACGCGAATCGAATATTAATTCAGGATCCCTTTGACGCTTATGATTTGAGACCGAATTATAAATGAATGAAATTGCCTTTTAGAAATTTCTAGGTTTATGTTGTTAAGCAATAGTTTATTTTCAAGTTTCACAGCCATTATACTTTACACGATATTTGGCGTTTGGATAGTAATCTGAACAAGCTTCTAATTTTATCTCGAATTGATTAACTAGACAAATATATAAAATTTTCCCCGAAATACTTTCAACGTTGCTTTGATTAAGGACTAGGATACAATCTGTAAACTAAATGAAACAATGGTTATTTTTAGAAAATTAAACTTAAGTCAGATTTTGGAAGTTGACATTGATTTTTTATCTAGAAGGTCTATTAACACGTTAAGCGCCATGGGGGTCACCGGTGACCTCCGTTAGCGGAGGATTTGCCTTCAACAGTTTTCTGTCGGCAGTCAAAGGCTTAACTTGTAACAGTATGCACTATCGAAAAAACAATAGGTGTAATGAATCACTGTTTTCAAATTCGGTCACGCAGGTAACAGCATTGGCACCTGATGCCGACTAACGCCATAATTGACTGCCAAGGAGATGTGCACCATGCATAATACATGCCAACGATTGGACGTAACAGTAATTGGAGCTATTGTAGAACTGCGTTGTATGACGATTGTATCGTGGTTGTGCTACGGTTGCGTGAAATTGTAGCCAGGACTGGATGACAGTTGATTAGAACTGTACTGTATTGTTGAGTGGACATTGTCGTACAAAATTCGCAGAAAACATTTCCTCAAAAAACTGTTTTGTCGACAAATTATATTATCAAGCAATTTTATCAACATAAATAAATCTACGCAATGTTAACATTACTACTTTCACTTTAAAAATAATATTTTCACAGGTAAGTAAGTAACAATTGTGGCTAAAAGGACATTAAACGAAGTCCAAGTATTAATAAGCTTCACATAGAAAATTAATTAATGTACATTGTTTTAAAACAAACAGTACAATTAGAATAAACAAGTGGAGACACAAAAACAATTTCACTTTGTAACAACCACCTGCTAATCGCTATTTACATAATAAAGTCACTACACAATTCTGCCCTCGGCGCCTTAATTACGTCAGCCAACTGGCAACACAGTCCTTTTGGGCGGTGATTACACGAGCCGACCTTATTATGCTCACAATCAGCCAAATATTCGCAAATTAGTAAACCAAAAGAAAGCGGTTTGCCCAAACATTCATGAATATTGATAATACTACATTTTCTTTAGTGAACAACTACGTAGAGTACGCAAATCACGTACGCACAATGACAGCTCCTAATCGTCGTTACACAACCAATGATCGTCGGTTAGGAGGCCAATGTCGCGGTCCACCCGCCCAGAATATCGATCACGGCGGAGAGATGACACATCCGGTGATCACGGAAACTTTGAAAAAGGGAAATGTATATAAGCGTGGCGTTGTATGACTACAGCATCATTCGTCTTCAGACAGTCGAAGAAATCAGTTCAACATGAATTCCTTTGTGTGTGTACTACTGCTCGCAGCCGTGGTGGCAGCCGAACCACCTCAGTATAGACTCAGGTTCCAGAGACAGCAAGTCGACTCTGGTGCAGACAGCGTGGCAATTGCCGCACAAAATGGTGACGCCCCTTATGCTCCAGCTGGCTTCAGACCCGCAAAGGCGTTCAACTTGCCACCTCGCCAAGAAGCTTCTCCGCCATCCACTTCATACGGTGTCCCTGACGACAGCTACGGTGCTCCTCTAAAAACGTTCTCCGCTCCTCAAACAGAATACGGTGTCCCTAGCACGCAGTATGGAGTTCCAGAACAGAACGAAACTGAGGAAAAGGAAGAAGTTGAACAGAAGGAAGAAATTGTTAAAGAAGAGAAGGCTGAAGCAGTAAAGGAGAACTTTGAAGAAGCTCCGAAGAAGGATGCTGAAGTTGTGAGTGCTCAAGGAGTTTACTACGTGCTGCTGCCTGACTCCCAGCTCCAGAGAGTGCAGTTCCAGACTGAGAACGACCCAAGGAACATGGCGTACACTGCCCGTCTTCAGTACAAAAACGAAGACCGCGCCCCGTTGTACGTGTACACAGCAGTGCCCCAATACCCGTCCGCGGCTTACGTTCAATTATTCTAATTTCTAGCCCTTTCAACAAATGTTACCCAAACGGATGCAATTTAGATTTGCCAGGATTATACGAGATCCGATACAGAGATACGGGAATACCGTTTTTCAAACGAATTTATTGTTCAGTGTCGTTACCCGATATTTATACAGAAACGTTTGCAATGCGGTAATAACCACCAAATATATTTTTATGTAATTTATTCGGGACGTTGTGAATAAATGTCTTTGTTTTACATAATTTGATGTGTTTTTAGTATTCTATGAATGTTGTTGAAGAGTTGTTTTCATAGAACTCCATAGTCTGTAAAGTTTATTTGCGTGACAATCTGATTTCGAGAACTATTTTATCTAGATATTTTAAACATACGTGGAAATTATTGTGTGTAATCAAAGAGATTATCAGTAAAAACATTGAAGTGCTTAATATAGAAAAGGAAAAATCAAAGTACAATTAATATAACAAGCAATGTTATGAGTAGGTACATATAAATATTATTGGATTTAATTGCTCGCTTTGATGACCCATTCATTTATTTAACATCAGGCGAGATGTAAATTATATTTATTGATGAGAACATTTCTCTAGTAAAAAGGAAATAACGACGATATTGGCAAAATGTTACTTTTTATTATAACTTTTCTATAATGCTCGAGAATCCTTTCCATTCCAAAGAGTGATTTTTAAATGATGCCAAATATGAAATTATAGATAAAAAGCTTTTACACTGAATATTAGGTTATTCTCCCTAGAAACTGCCTGTGGATAGTGAAGGTATTACAATTAATGTCATTGTCAAAATTAATGATCTCAAAAAATACGCAAACATGTATTTTCTTACATTGGACGCTTTCAAAAGGAGTGTAAAATTTTAAAACCCTGAAAGAATTATGAACGCTTTCCAAAGATTAACATCACAAAAGACGTCCTGATTTAGCAATTATGAACAGTTTTACTTGGCGTTGCTACCTCACTTTTCGCCATGGTATTGTTATGTCATAAAATGCACATTTGCTAATAGTTATTGTTTTTGGGGAACGAAGTAAGATGGAAATGTCACTTGGAGATATTTGGGTCAGGTCGATAGCCTCTTGTTATTGGCACATTCAACCGGTTGATAGTTTTCGCACTTTGTCTTTTGGCGTTATGACATTAAAAGCGTTGTCAAACGGAGAGGGAGATACTTGGTCATGCGTATGCATGACTTTGATTTAGACAAGAGTCTATTTCCAAATACAGACCTCATTTCTCAATTATAATTTAAGACATGATATTATCGTTCGACAACCTCAAGAATACTTGTTTACCTAATGTCTTAAATTTTAAAATAAATGGTTAAAATACTCAACTAATTATCTGTTAGCGGTTTGAAGCTCAGTTCCATGGAAAAAGATGGTCTATTATTTAGTCCAGATTATAATCTATCTCTGTTCCCAACATCATTTAGATTTATTTAGTACAGTTTACGTGAAAGTGGTAACAACTAATTCTAGCTACCCTAATTCATAGTTCCGAATCGAAAGCTACAGCTAAACAATCGCTATCTGACAATATGTCAGCATCAATACTCAACGGAAATCGATGGAAACGTTACACGTGTCTTACCGCATGTCTGTGGTTTCAGGTCTAACACGTCTTATCCCTGATTGATCTCGCTGTCTATTTCAATAGTATAAGATTGATTTGTGCTTTTTGGAAAGAAACTAAAATTTAAAATCAAAATTATGAATTGAAGCAATTTCTATATTTTAGTAGAGAATTAGCTAGTAACACACCATTGGACCTACAATTTTAATAGTGATTGGACAAACCGACCCTTGGCTTAATTAAGGCCATCTAGTGAAAAAAACGGGAGAATCCATTAGAATGCAACGTTGTTAAATTCTTATTTTATTAACTAAAGAATCAATTATTTGTTTCCAATGAAAGAAAGAGTTTTGAAATTAAACTACATAGTAAACTGCTATTGCATTCTATTTACGCTATCCTTCTGAAGCGAGTCTAATATACAAACAATTTGACTGTGAAGCTAATTGAAAAATTGTAAAAATAGAGTTTGTTGATCGTTCTTCATAGGAATCTAAACTTTGGAACTTGCAAATAGCTTCACTAAAGAACTGTCCGATAGACTAATATTTTTTCTTGTTTGATTTCCAAAAATAGTATAATTGAAATAAACGATTTGACTTTGACACTGCGTCACGATACCCCACGATACGTATATCCGTGTTGTTAACATATGTACAAGGCATAAAATCATCAGAGGTACACTACAACTCGACTTAATCCTGAGACATGTATCAACAAGCCACCATTCACACACGCCTAGAGTACGGTGTACCCTCAACAACCCTCAGCATGTTCGGCTGCCGAGTTTATGTAAACTTGTTCAAACATGATTGATTGCGTCCGATTTTGAACGTATCTGTGTGTATTTGCTGATTGGAAGCGTTTCATTTTAATTACCTACGCTCTCATAGCGATTTAGGTTATGTAAATCGATGTTACTGAGGAATTTCTTGTTTTTTTCATGACGTCAAACTAACAGATAAATTACCCGATGGTTAGCAATGGGGCCGGCCATGAACACCTGCAATCGCAGAGGAGTGCGTGGTCTGTCTTGTTGGGCTATTAGGCTTTCGGATATTTAGGAATTGGAAGAAGGGTTGAGCTTTCGGTAAAACACTCACACGGCAAAACACAGCATACTCCAGTCAAGCCGATCTATTCAAGCCAAAGAATAGCTATCCCATGCTTTATTATGTTGCTGTCTGGTTAAAATATAGAGTTTCAAATCAAATTCGAATTGGCTTGGTTATTAAGCGCTTGGATATGTGGTTTAAAATGCAACTGCAGCTTTATTAGTAGGTAGTTAAATTTCACATTGAAATATAATATACAATTCTAAAATGGATGCCACAAGGAGCAATAATGGGACCAACTGTGAAAATCGATTGATGATATCCAATTCCGTTAGCTCTAGTTAGTTGTGTAATCAAACCCGCAGAATAGGACATCTGTTCACTTCCTGCAATTCTGTGGCGACTAAGAGATTACGTACCACAACTGCATCAGCATAACTTAATACTGTGGGTACACACATTCATGTTCGAAGCTTACAATGGTGTTAGAATCTATTTAAAGTTCTTGGTATTTAAAAATGAAACAGTTTATTTTTCTTAAAGAAATAAGTAAAACGTGTTATTTCATTCATTGGACTTAAATCCAAACTATTCGTATGTGTAATTTATTAACAAATTATTGAAGCATTAAATTTTGATTTTACAACATAAAATCATTTCATCAAACATTTTAAAGCTTTTGCATCTTAATATTTTACAGTTTTTTCTTTTTGGGACGGGACTACAAATGGTAGTAATTGATCAGTACCACCAAAGAAGTTGGAAGCGTTTTGGTGGTATGAGGATTCAGGTATAGGAGATGGTGAAGGCATCAGGGCTCACTCATACGACGAAACACAAAGCGTTGTGTCACGCCGATTTTCTGTAAGGCCATGGTATCACACTGGTCGAGATGAACAATTCATGTGAAGCATAGCTCTCCTACACTTAAAATTACACACATTATAAATCTTAACTTCTTTTTGCAGTACAAAAAAAGGGTTTCATTGAACCATTATTTTTTTTAATATTAACAGCATTTGTAATTAATTTTATTATAGAAACCTTTCATTTAACTAGACGCTTCAAGACGTTTGAAAATCGTATTCTGCTAGTTCTTATCAAATGGAACTAATCATGCCTCTACCCCTACGTTCTGCAGTCTCGTCTGAGGAAGACATAAAACTGTCGGCAGTTAATTAACTAGACGTCCGCAGCTCCATGCATAGCTCTTTGAGAGCTCCCAAACTTAGTTCTTTTACTTTAACTGCTCACTTTAAACTTCAAACAACTTCTATTAGGAAGGTTTTAAAACCATATAAAGGTTTTGTGTTGTTGATTTTTTTTTTTTGTTTTAATCAGCAGCGGGAGGTTATTATAGTTTAAGCCTTTGTCTAGTGTGAAAGGATAGAACGATAGATGGTTACTATAGTAATATAGATATTATATTTGGACAATGTAGCGATATGTAAACCGCAAAAATCTTGAAAACGGGATTCCACTATAGCAGGGAGCCATACATATATAGAGATCGCTTCCAACCAAGCCGATATATGTCTAGAGGAGACATTTATTCAACAGTGAACATCTTGCTGGTATACTGATGAGGAAAGGGTGTTTTGATCTTAATTATAAGTGACTAATGATACAGTAATGAAACGTTATCGTATTATTTATAAGTTTTAAACTTTTAAACCTTTAAAAGACGATAAAGTTTTCGATTTTCAAAGAAGATGTTTTGACACCGTATTCCATAATCATTAATCAACGTCTAAGACTCATTGAAGGAGAACACTGTAGGCTTTACTATACTTAATTCAATAGCCTCAAATTCCAAACATTTTGTATTTGTACAGTTGTTGACATTATTCACTTAATTGTTTTCTTTAGTAGATACAACTTGACATTTAGAATTAATTGACATTCAAATCTATTTATGTAACTCAATTTAAAAGGATCTATCTCTTAGTAATTTGCTTTAAGTAAACTTAAGTGCTCTAGAAACACGAATTAGTTCGGATCACTAAATAATGAAATTGAGATATTGGTTGAGTTGAGGTTAAAAGAATTATGTATTGTTACTGGTTGTATTCAATACAAAAAAGTTTTTGCCTTTTTACGATCATACTGTATATTCGTCAATGGGTGATTCTTCACATCAATTAAAAAAAATTTAATAATGTCATTATCCTCAACCGAAAATTAACGAGTCTGCTGATTAAAACACAGATAATTATTTTATTAAATTAAATCTCACCACTGCTTACAAGCAACCGATTAAAAATATTGTATAAAATAAATTACTAAAGATGCTTAAAAACCTGGGAGGATAATGACTTGTTACATAAAAGTTAAGGTTTTTTGGAGAATCACCCAACTACGTGTTTTTATTAGCTTTGTAAAATGTGTAATTCAAGAATGATGTTTCATGTGTAGTTAATGTTAATGTTATTAGGTACCACGAGCATATTATAATTTAACACAATTTGCTTTAATTATAGATAAGCCCTTTTTTAAAAAAGGGTATCATCAAAATCTTCTCTCGTTCAGGGTAAGACGAGAAAGAGTGTCAGTCTCTTACGGAGTAAAAAAATCCCCGATCCTTCTCCTGCTCCAGGTCGAGGCCGCTTACATTCAAAACCTACGAGTGAAAGAAAAGATATCAATACTTTTCAAACGCGTACTATACATAGACAAACTAGCAGATGTCAAAAATCGATCAATCAAACGTCAGATTTATTAAGGGGCGATATAAAAGTGTCATAAATAGTATAAAACATATCAACAACACTGCATTGAAGCATACACTCAAGAAAGAAAAAAAGAATATACAATATAATTCTTTCAAAATGCTATTCGGAAGCTCGGATGCATTGATAGTTCGTGACAGTCATCATTTTGAAATACTTGAAAAAGATAGAAACAAATGTGCTTTAATAGCAAACATTATTATTTTGCAATGTAAGTATTGTCACCCTTAGAATTGATATGTTTACCTATTCAGAAAGCTGTATTGTACGCAGCAGAATAGGACTCATTTGCTACCAATCACAATCTCGCCGTGGTACAAGGTCAAGTCACAGACACAGACTTTACTGTGAAACTGCATATTTGACAGACAGAAATCGGACAGTGATGTTTTCTGATAAACCTCAACCTTCATCAATCAAACGATTTCCAACCTTAAGTGCTTCCAAGAATAGTATAGCAATCCGACTACCTGGCTGTGATTATAATATATGTAGAACTGTGTAAATTAATGTGTTCCACACTAAAATATTCTAATGTTGGTGGTACATTTTCAATCTTATATACTTTTTTTTTCTTCTCCTCAAATAATATCTTCTCGTTTATCTCGTTGCGGGATCCATGACAGTCATTTACGTCTTTGGGTGGCACCGGACTTCAGTGTTTCGGTGATTTCATGGTCGTATCTTCGGTATATCCTGGCTAACAAGAGTTGCAGTAGGGTAAGAAGGTAATAGCAGGCTTGTTCCATTTAGAAAATACCTTAGAGACGATGTGATTATGTGAATTCATAACAAAAATTGGTTACACTTACTAATAAAATTGTTGTTCCGTTAATGTCTTAATTTCTCAAAATTTTACTGCCTAGGTGTCCTAGTATGTTTAGGAGCACTAACCATCCTTTATTGCGTTTGGACTCCCGAACATTCGACGTGGGATTATGACAAGCTGACTCGAATCATGTACCTTTACGACTCCGAGGCTTGTGGATACAAACTTAGGAAAGCTAAGTTAATATCGAACCTACAAATCAGCAATGAGACCTATGGCCTTGATGTTCTTCCTATAAGATGGCAGCCAGCTATAACGACTGTGTCCACTCGTCTCTCGGCTAAAACTAGAAAGTACGTATATATTTTATTATAACACTAACTACCTGCCCTCACTTCGCACCTTCGGACGTTCAACTACTTCGATGTTGACAGCCATTTGTTTTTTTTCTGTGGGTCTGTCACAGCACCGAAAGATTTAACGATTTCCTTCTCTTCTTTTCCCTCTTCCTTTCAAAGACCACTATAAACACAATAAAAAGAATAGGTAAATATAAGGTCAAGCCTTGTTTATTTTTCGTCCGATTTTGAATGCTTATATTCTGAGCCCCAAATCTCATATGCCACGGGAGCTACGATATATTATACCACGGGCAAGAAATCCACAAAAACAAAACGAACAAAAATATCGGTTACTTTATCTTTCATTGTATCGGTATCACAGTAATATTCAATAACAGATACCGATTGTGTTGTCCATTTTCCCTTATCCACGGAAAGCTTCGTGGCAAAAAACACGTCGCTGAGATTCTAGGACAATAAGTTTAATGAAGTGAACATCGACTGTGCTCGCTTTACGTAATCCGATATTTTTATACCATTTTGTACCAGTGGAGTTTTATCCCGATTTGATGCATGTTTTGCATATTTATTACCAACTAGCTGACTTAGCAAACTCCGCGCTGTATTAAAATGCCAGTGATTTTCCTTGTCAATTATCTAATATCACTTACACTTTATCACTTTTAAGATTTTTACCCAAGATTTCCACATTTTCACACCGTTTAAACCTTCCCTGAACTTCAACGATTATGTTGAGACCAAAAATCTCGAGTTTCAGTGAGACTAATTGATGATGAATTTTTGTCTAAAAGACTACTGTTTTATATGGAGGGAAAATTTTCTAATCACACTATCTGTGTTAAAATCGATGTTTTATTATAATACGTAATTGTATTTGTTTGCTATTCTCTGATATGGACATAAAACTTGAAGTAGAGAAACTTTGCTATAAAAATCTAAGATTTCAGTTTTCATTGAATTAGTTTCTTATTTCAATCTCTCTCTTTTCAGATATATAGAATTAAGTTTATCTTTTCACGTCATATGGTGCTTTCTAGCCATAGCTTTCCGAGTTATCATGAAGAACAATTCTAATATACAGGTTTTGAAAATCACACTTGATGTATTTTTCTACAGCTGTCTCTTCATCATAGGCTTTGATATTTCAATGGCTATAGTCTATGTGACGCATATCAAACAAAGCTTAACTAAAGGCATGATTTTGAGATACAGTGGATGGAACATCGATTTAAAACTAGACAGCTATGATACTTTTGCTGGCTGGCTCCCAATCCTAGCCTCTATCTGCTGGTTACGGGGCATCGTATTCTTCATGGCCAACCTATACTTCTGCAAAGTTATCACCGTTATGCTTAAAAAGATCAGGAGAAGAGCATTCAAGAAAAAGTGGCCTATTGATGAGTATAATCCATTCCCTGAACCACGACAACATCAAGTACTTGACAATAGGATCCTAGTATACAGATCGGGGGAGCACATCCCTCAAGTACAATAAAAGGATTCGGTGATTTATATTAAGTTCTAATAGTGATAAGGAAAATAACTGTAAAGCATTAAAACCAACTCAAACCTTATCGATAAAGAAATAGAACTCATTTTTTCAATAAAAAGTTCGTAAAAGTTACAGACTTTTATTATATAGATTAGCAAGCAATGAATTTTTTCCAAGGAACGTTTGGTAACGAGAAATGAAATGAAGCGGTTCTGCTTTTGAACGAATTCAATTTGAAACGTTGGTAGAAGGATGCTATTAAATTTTTCATTATCACCTCCCGGCGGGAGACGTTGCCCATTAATTCTGGACTTTACCTGTAATCAAAACATGGGGCGGGCCCATTTTAGTGACAGCAAATTGGTACGCGACCCACTTGAAAATTGTTTGCTCTCTAGATTGTCTCGGAAACGGTTTGTAACGAGTTTGAGTGTGGCCTTGAATTGGAAAAGGTTTATTATTTAATAACTGTCGCAATAATAAACCGAAGTAATGGGATCGTTAGGATTTTGGAGCATGCTAGCGATATTTTACCAAAGTAAGGATCGTTATTTTCGATAATTTATTTCACGGTCTGTGTACTTTGATCGAACCGAACAATAATTTGGAACTTATCTGCGGTACCTAGTACCTATCTAGACTAGAATAAAAATCTGTGTTTACCACTTTCAGCATTAATATGTGTGATAATAAGTTGGCTAACTTTGGACTGTAAATTCGAACCGAATTCCACTGAGCTTCATGAGATCACGTTGATGAAGCTCTTGTACTTATATGATCCTGAGGCTTGTGAAAGGATTTACTTCTACAATGTGACTGCTAGAATTAGCCATGAAAGGATGTACACGAGTGTAGTATGGCCTACCAAGAATCACATCGCTTCTAGATTTAGAACGTTAGTAATAAGATATGTATATTTGTCCTTTTGACATTCAAATACCAATGTTAGTTACAAATACGTCTGTAGAGCCTACATTTAGAAAGACTATTAACTTTGGATACGAAGAGAAAACCTCATCAGCATAGATCAATCTTTTTATGCACGCTCGTTGAATGAAAGCAAACACATTTACTCTTAGAGTCGCATTATAAACACAAAAGCCAATTTATATTTGTCTCGTCTTCGTTTTACTTTTAGCTTTGCATTAATATCTTTGTCTTTTTCCATTATCTTTTATTCCAGAGAGATACAAGTATGGATGTCCCTACATTTGCTGTGGATGCTGTTTGCCGTCATCAACATGACGCAAGGACAACGTTCGTGCAGTTTCTACGCCACCCTGCTACCATTCACCATTACCGGGATTGCTCTGCTCATTACTGATGTAATATACGCCATTTTGTTTCTGATCGACGCTCGATACACTTACACGGAATGTAAGATTTTACATTATTTTCTTGTATTTTTCACAAATATTTCGTATATTTAGATAATGGATGAGAAGATTTTGTGATTTTGAAGACTGTGTTAATATAACTAGAATTAATAAACACATACAGTACATACACACGCATATGTATAACTATATTCAAAGGAGCTGTACTGATTATGTAATGAAGTCATTGAATTTCAACAATCTGTTTTCAATTATTATAATAAAAGCACTCGATTTACATATAAGACAAAAAAGAGGAAACAAACAGACGAAAGGAACCCCAATCTGGTATTGTAAATCCCCTTGATGCGACGATATCCTATAAGCCGCTCCATACAATGCCGGTGATGTACGAAACCAGACATCCATTACACCGTCAAAGGCAGCGATAGTACGTATTTAATACGTATCGTTCTCAGCTCGGCCACTTTACAACCGATGTTGAGTGGAGGCAATCTCACAGGATTACATTCGGTTGAATACTCTACGTCAGATCTTTGATCTGCGTCAAATGAATTATTCAGAAGTTTTACTTGACCACACTTTAAATTTTAATACCTTTGCTGTACCGCATTAATTAATGGGCTTTTCATGCTTAATTTTCGAAATCATAAAGTTGATTATCAATATCATAAACCCGTTTCTTTGCTAGAGGAGGAGCAAGAAACATATATGTACTTTACTACAATCAAGATAAAAAATAAAAATATTTAGGTGGGTGCTTAGTTTAACGAGACCATCCATTGTAATACAATGCAACTTATAACACGTTTCCTTTGTGTTTAACTTATTCTAGTAAAATAAATTTCGTTCGTTTTTTGCACGAATGGGTACCTATAGACTAATGATGAGTATAGTTTAAGCAGAAGGCTTAATACTAGTAGTAACTTCAACTTTATTCCTGTAATAGTAATGCATATTTTATTCTTTACTATAATTTCTATCATCATCATTAGTCTATCCCTAATATCTTTAGTATTAGGGTCCAAAATTGTAAGGATAACGACAACTGCCACATTTATTTAAGGCCTGCATAAGCTCGGCCTCTTTGTAATTGATGCCCACTTTAGACAGCTTTAGCACGCGGAAAGCCCAGTTTAATTTGAATCGACAGGATACTATTCCATTCACATCACTGTACTAATCTTACCTTTAGTCGAAATTCAGTGTATTAAGTGATATAGTTACTTCGTTAGGACGAAAGAAACGTTACCGATTTTTTAACGTTATCGTGCTTAGCCCTCTTGAAACAGGCCAATCTGAGCATCAAACGTGATAAACGTATTGACAGTGTTAACGAAAATGTTCAGTCTTACAACGAAACATATGAAAAAAATATATACAGATACCTCAAATGCATTTGGTCAGGGTGTGCCTCTTTACTATTAGTTTTACTTATGAGGTACAAGTCTGTAACTGTATATGCATAAGCACAAGGTATTAACAAAATAATACAGTTTTATAAATGGAATTTTAAGGAAAAGGAAAAGTCCAAGGTCGTTACTTTTTTATGATTCATTGCCTTACACTATTTTTTCGTGGTTGCGTTTACAAGCTTACAATTTTGCACTGTGTTATGTATACAATAGGAAATTAATCTCAACCTATTCTTCAAATTCCTCAGCGGCGATACTCCTCTACCTGACCAATAATGGACATCTTCGAGCTATAATGAAGAAGCCATTAGCACCAGCGCAGGACGTGGAAGACACATCCTGGATAGCCGTCAGTATGGCTTACTGCAGCATGAGGGGTATCGTACAATGGCTGCTCAACTTCTGGATCGTTAAGGACAATTATTTTGAAGGATTGGAACATTATCGTAAGTTTTTTTTTATTAAGAAATATAAGAGACTACAAATTTACTAAAAAAGTCATAATAACCAAAAAACTATGTACATGATCGAAGAATTAGTTCCAACGCATTATTCTTAGAATTAATACCAACGACTTATTTTTTTACATCGATTTTTGTCATTAATTGACCTCTGTCACCCTGGTTCGGTAAGGGGAGGAGTTTCAGACTCTTATAGCCACGACCCTTCTCCAGCTTCGAGCTGGGGCCGCGAATTATCCGTATTTCAAAACATACTAACCGAAAATTAGCATGACCAACTTACCATTGTTCTTAGAAAGCTCATAATTTATAAACATTAGGCTCTCGGGACTGTCCCAAGACCCGAACTTAGGATCTCAAGTCGGTCATCCATTGTAATGGTTATAACATTATTAGTTTAATACCTAGTAGTGTCCTTTACAATATGGCTGGTCAAACATAATTTATGTAAGGTTTTAGTCCATATAATTATCTTAATGATTTTGTGAACGATTAAGTGTTGATTGCACCTTCGTCCATTTGGGTAATGCTGAAGACTTGGTTAGGGGATTAATTCTTAGATCGATGTAATGGAATTTCAAATGTCGTGGTGGCCTAGAGGTTAATGCGCCCGCTTCTTATGCATGAGGGTGCAGGTTCGAAACCTGGCAAGTACCAATGTGACTTTTTCCGAGTTATATGTACTTTCTATGATTATTTAGACACCACTGACATACGGTGAAAGTAAACATCGTGAGGAAACCTGGACTTATAATTTCCAAATATAAGTTTGAAATCGCCAACCCGCATTGAGCAAGCGTGGTGATTAATGCTCAAACCTTCTCCATATGAGAAGAGGCCTTTGCTCAGCAGTGGGCACTATAGGCTGGTGATGATGACGATGAATGGAATTTTAGTATCTGCATACAGCAAACGAGTTACTACAAGTGCTTTTCCGGCTTCTTGTGGATTATTAGGGATTTAAGGATAGGAGATTTTAGGACTAAGGATGGGGGAGAAGGATTGGGCCCCGGTAACCTTGCTCACACGGCGAAACACATCGTGAGTGTTGCTGTTGTTCTGTGGCCGGAGTGCCCATTCGTTGTTGTCCGAAGCAACCGGTTCATGCCAGTTCCACAAAAAGTGTTTCGACAAAAATGATGAGTATTCTCTTATATCTTTTTTACAGGCAGTTTGGAGTACATTAAGCCAAGGATGCGTCGAAAGAGTTCCTCATTGAACTTGTGATTGAAATTACAGACCGTGGTGGTATGATACAGGATTATAGATCTTATGTCATCGCGTTTCGGAGTATTAATGTGTGTGTTACAATTATAAAAACAGTGATGAATACATAATTTCTTTATAATAAAGATTCAAATTACTTGGAAATTTTCTGCGTTTTTTTTTCTGGTCCAATATAATATGTCACTGTAACTCATTCTTCCGCTATCGGTATTTCGTATTCTTTTTTAGGACAAGCCCGCCACAACCTTCCAAAACAGTTCTCACAAATGTAAATAATATGCTTAAGACTACATAGACATCGTTTCAATTATTACATTCAAAACTTAGATTATTTTTTAACAAACGCAAAGCGCTTTGCTCTTAATAAAGAACAATCTCGAATACAAAAAATAATCCTCAAAGCAGATTTTACTCCTTGGCCAAAATATTTTTCCTTATTTCACACCTTCGCCAGACGATACAGAACACTCTTTGTCTATATTTAAGATCTAAAATGGCATGCAAATTATGATGTTTATCTATCCCTTTTTTGCGGTGCCCACAAATTCGTTTATGAACTGTAATAGGCGCTGGGGTATGGGAATGGACAACAGGTGGTCTATGACATATGATCATATCTTTTTATGGCAATCTATGATGGCCGCTATGCAGCTGTCAGAGGTGTTTTAGAGTTATCATTATTGTCTTGGATGCTTTCTTCATGGACATTACTTAGAGCATGTTCTCTTATATAAATCTCTGCTTTATTAACGGGGTATCTTTCAACAATACGTGACGACAGTCGTCGTAGTGATGAGTGTTATATTGTTTTGCTTAATAATTTTGACAATATAAAGCTTGTAACTATATTTGGCGCAACTATAATTTGTACCACAGGAGTTACAAGTGCGATGACGTTCTGGGAATAAGGGGTTTGAGGAATTGAAGATTATTTTGATGATTACAATTGGGCCTGCATATATAATTATAATAGTCCTCACTCATACGGTGAAACACAACACGCGTTGTTTCAAGATTGTTTTTTAGGCCGTGGTACGATCGAGCCTACCTGCCTCTGCCAAAATATGGGGTTTCTCGCCACTAAATTTCAAATTAAACAGCAGCAAGATATCAACACATTTAGGCTAAACTTCAACCTAGATTCCTAATGGCATTTTAGGCTCAAGACAGAACAAAAAGCCTCGTTTAAGATGAAACATGACCACATTTAGTTTCACCCAAACAAAATGAACCGACACACATTAGAAACAGCTGCCTAAATATTAAGGCAACATACATAGTCGCAAATAGGGATGTTGTGTTAGCCAAATATTGATACTGCCATTAAATATGTATTTGAATACCATACCTGTTACTTGATCTTAGTTACGTATTTGATATTGACATTATAATTCATATTGTCGAACCGATCTTGTGCAATACCAATATCCTACTTTTGCCAAAAATACCCGTATCATACAAATTTATTTATACAACTTGGAAGACTTACAGCAAAATAGAATACATCGTAATTTTGAACGGTACAAGCTAATTGGACAGTAACAAGTCCTCACATTTAACACTAGAATATAAAAAATAACCATAAACTTATAATATAGAAAAAAAAACTTAGAAACATGACTTCGTAACATAATATAAAGCATACATAATCAACTATGTAATTACTCCAGATCTTAGCCTCCGAAAAAAAAACTAATACTCGTTCGTACTCAAATATGTTTTAGAACGACAGGCTGTAGTGTCGTTACTTGTTAAAGATAATAATATATTTATTTCGCAAATGTAGGTAAAAATCAAGATAACAATTTTTAACAAGGACAGCCATACTTTACCATTAGGCATGCTAAATATGCAAACATTGTTCGATAAGCCTTGATTTTTATTGTTTCTTCCAGATTTCAAATATTTGACTTATATGTTTGATAATCTTTATCAGTGTCTGGTATTACAAATACTAGTATAACACCTGTACCAACTACGAACCTGTCTCCTCTCTAACTCAGCAGTTGGGTTTTATGAATACAGAAAGCCGGCAGATGTAAACGTGACAGCAATTAAAATCTGTCATCATTACAAATGACATAATTATTGCGGAGATTCCAACGTTTAAGCGAGCCACGTTAACGCTTACAGTGCCTAAAGGCTTACCTACAAGTGACTACTAAAACTTTCAACCTATATCTCTTTTGAGGTTAGATTTTTTTTTATGTAATAGGTCGGCAAACGAGCTTACGGATTACTTGATGGTAAGCAAATACTCATGCTCATGCAAAACTAGAGAAGTTAAGGGTGCGTTGCCGGCTTTTTTGGGATTTCTATTGCAGGATTTTGGTGATTTTGAGATAAGGAGGAATGGGGAGAGGAGAAGTATAGTATGGCATACATCAATTTCTGACTGCACGGTTGACGCGGTTGGCCTGGCTGCTACGTAACGTGTCGCGCGTTCGGTTCCCGCACGGAATAACTCTTTTTGTGATCCACAAATGGTTGTTCCGGGTCAGGGTGAAATTGTATGTCTATGAAATTGTATACCCATGACCTAGGAGAAAATACTAGTGTGGGGCAAAGCTTTTTATAAATAAAATCAATAGACTTAGACAAAGTTAGTGAAGGATGGAAATTTGTAATTTGGTCGGTAATGATTTGCCTTTAATCCTTATATTGGTACCCCAGGTCAAATCGTGCCGTGACAAAATATTTATTTGCCCAATCAGGATATAGTGCCAGAATTCTTGTCTTTGAAATTATTTCTATCTAGAACACCCCGGTTTTAATTCGTCATTCGTTCATTAATTTGTTTAATTTAAAATTCTATTACCATATCGTACCTATTGCAATGTTATTCTAGATATTCCATTTATTCGTTATACAATCACATTGCAGTTTATTATAGACTTTTTTATCCACAAGAATTAAAAAATAAAACAAAAGATTGAACACACTATAAGTGTAAATGTCCAGGAATGATATAATGCACACATTTTACTGTATCTGGTTTCATCAAGCGGCTTTGCTCGCGGTACCTACCTACAAAAAACAACCTATATATGTCAGCCTATATGTAATTCTAGACTCTCAGATCTTATGTATACGTTTCATTTAAATCTATTAAGTTTGTCTATTCATTCTGAACATGTTAACACATACATATGAACTCACAATCTTCAATTTTTTAAATATTACGAGTAGTGGGATGGTATGATTCTAATTTACACCATATTATTTAATAAAGACTCATTCAGTAAGCTCAAATACATGATGAAAGGACCGTGTCAATCCCATTCTGGCGTACACAATACTCAAGTTAGTCACACAAGACCCTCCATGACCCAATTCTTCACTTAGACGATCCTCATGGGAAACTCCCACCTGCCATAGCTTTCATTTTCAGTAGCTGAAGAAATGTAACACATGTTTTACAGTATTAGACGAAGTAAAAGTTAAAACTAAACTCTGATTTCAAAGTCGCAAAGTTTCTTTTTGAATGATGATTGTTTTGGTAATGTGGTAATTTATTAGTAAATTGATTTATTTGTATTTAGATGTAGTTTTATACTGGTTTATGTTCTGCAGTTCTCAATTATAAATAGTATATTCAGATTTGTAGTAGCGAAAATCAGATTTATTTCTGGTGCCTTTACTTAGTCCAGTTAGAATAGTACAGAATTAATAAAAAGTTACGGTAAGCACCATAAACACCAAGTAACGTGGTTTTGGCGTGGAGCAGAAGAAGGAACTGGTTAATTTTAAGTCAGTAAGAATCTGACTTTCTCTATCGGCCTACCATGGGCGAGAGAGGTAATTTGATGTCACCACCTTAAAAAACAAAATTGATTAATAATAAGTTATATTATGTCTATAACGGTTAATGTAAACAAAGTTACATCTACTTTAGAATACTGTATACTGTTTTTAATGGACAAATAATTAATATTATAATGTAATTAACAAAAGCTTTTAATCTATCGCTCTGTAACATTATTGATAAATTCCGAAATAAATTTATGCTGTTTTAAATTCCAATTCCAATGCATTAATGTAAGCCTTAATGCTTTATTGGTACACAAAAACTAATTGATTTTTCACTTTAAATTCACTTGTTTGTCCTATTCTAACTTTATGATTACAGCAATAATAGATAGTTGTTTTTGGTTATAATAATTGTATCTGTTTATGTTTTATATCATAGTCAACTATATATATTTATTTTGTATCGTATTTTTATTATTTACCCTGTATATGTGAGTGCATTAAGTTTAAGCTTTCTTCTTTTCACTTTGTTTTTTAATGTACACTTTGTGTTGTGTATAAATGAAAAGGTCTGTGAGAATTTATGGAAGTATATTGTCACCTTTACGCAAAAACGGCTGGGCCGTAAACGTAGGTGATGCCTGGATATTGATGTTAGTTCTAATAATTTCAAACCAAGCCTTTTTAAATTCCCACCTAGACTAGCAACCTAGACTACAACTAAACAAAAGATTCCAAATGAATGTCACTTCGTCAATATCTTCTGTGCACTAACTTTCAAAGCATAGGAATTACAAAGAAGAAACAAGTTCATTACAGCATAAACACTTTATTTCAAATCATTAATAAGTTAAATCACTTTCACAAGAAGAGGTGCAGGTCGGCGGAGCTGAATCCTTGCAGTGTACTTCATATTCTGAACATCATTCTCCGTCACAAACTCCACTTTCTGTAGCCTTCCATCAGGAAGGAGCACGTAGTAAGTTCCAATGCTCTTCTGAACATCCACAGGACCTTCTAACCTCTCAGCTTGAGGGTTATCAGTAGTTGGAGCTTCAGTGGAATCAGGAGCTCCATAAGTATTGTCAGGAACGCCGTAGCTGGTAGCTGGTGGCGACTGCTTTGGCAGTTCAAATGCTTGACCTTGAGGCTTCCATCCAGAAGCTGGGTATGGTGCATCCGGAGCGCCGTACTGATCAGTAGGCGCCCCATATTGGTCAGCTGGCTTCTCAGCTTTCTCTTCTGTAGGC